GTGATCCCTGGCCGCTGGGAGGGAGGGTGGCCCTGGCCCCAGACTCCAGGTTGGCTGGCCTTGTGCCCCCCGAACCACGTGTCAGCCTGGCGGTCAAGGGGATGGTTGTGAAAGGAACTGCAGACATGACCCTGGCGGCATTGCAACATCCCTCTGGCCAGCATCCCTCAGCTTCCAGTCCGTCAGCCCCCCTGGCTTCCCGACTGAGCACAGCGCCCCCCGGACATCCACCCAGATGTCCGCTCCTCCCTCCACTCCCCTGCTTGGGGGGGGGTGGTTTCTGTGTTTACAGCTGAGGAAACTGAGGCATGGCCAAGGACGTCCAACTGCTTGGTGACGGGCTGAGGAGTAGCTCTCTGTCCCTTCTCTTCTCAGACTCCGGGCTGTCTCTGCCTGCCTGCCCAGGTCGGCCCCAACCCCACTGCACCCCTGCCAGCCTTTGTTCCCACTTTCTCTAGTCCGCCGGTAAACTAGTGCTCACCCTTCTCCTCAGAAGCTTCCTATGAGACGGGACTCAAGCGGGAGCCGTGGCTGGTGCTGCCTCCCTCATGGACACGTGGGGGAAACTAAAGCCCTGAGAGGGCGCGGCCCCAGCTCCTGGGCACCTAGTGAGTCAGCAGTGGGCCTGGAGGTCTAGCCCCCTGCCCCCCGAGCCCAGTGACCCTTCCCCTCCCCACTCAGCCCTTGAGTCATCTCCGGGGGAGGGGAGCCAGCCTCCAGATGGGTGCTCGGAGCGGCGCCAGGACAGCTGGGAGCTCACTGTGCGACCGCCAAATTGGGCAGAGGGACGTGGAGAGCAGGCTCAAGCCCTGGCCTGTCCCCTGGCGGTGGGAACCCTGCTCCCCATCGCTGAGAACTGAGGGGGTGGGAGCGAGGCAAGCCTGCTGGCTCCCAGGCTCCTGCCCTTGCCTCGCTGAGCGCCAATGCCCAACTGGGCACGGAGCCTGGGGTCAGACTCACAAGGGGGTGCCTTCCCTTCTTTCCAGCCCGGATCCAGCACCTTGTAGGCTGGTTGCAAAGGACAAGAGGTAGACAACACAGCTGGAGGGGGGAAGGATGGAAGGATGGAGACTCCGCAGACAGAAGGACCCCACCGGGGAGCCAAGGGCCACTAACTCAGAGGGATAGAGGTGGGAGGAGAAAGGCAGAGGCTCAAAGGAAACAGGGTGTGGAGGGCAAAAACAAAACAAGCACCCAGATGAAGGAGGGAGAAGAAGCATGCCAGGCCCCAGGGGCAAGAGAAACGTGGGAGGGAGGGATAACAAAGAAGTGCAGGAAAACAGGAAGCCAGAAAATGAAGCCTCGCAGGGAGAACAGGACCCAGACAGAGGCCAGGAGGCAGGATCAGATAAGCCCTGAAAGGCAGGGAGAATAATGAGGCGGAGGGAAATACGGAGATACGGAGGGAAATACAGAAATAGGGCTCGGGTCAGGATGACACTGGCCTTGGGTCATTTTGGGCCTGGGAGCAGGTGTGAGGCCACGGGCAAACCAGGCTCAGAGGTTTGCCATTTCTTGCTGATGGTATGGAACGGCAGGATTTAAACCTAGTGATGCTGCTGCAGAAGTCAGGTCTCAGATGGCATGGAGAGAGAACGAGCCAAGGAGAGAAGCAGAGACAAAGGGACAGAGGGACAGAGGGACGCACAACGGGAGTTAAAGCGAAAGGCAGATCCGCTCCCCCACATTCGTGGCCGAGCAGAGGGAAAAAGCTGTGGTCTGTGTGCGTGTAGGGGGAAACTGAGGCTGGAGCTGGGAGGAATCACACGGAGGCCCAGCAGCTGCTGTGAGGCTTGACAATCTTTATTATTATGAATCTAGGGCCTGCCAGGAGCATGGGGAGGGGTGTGACAAGGCCTCTGGCTGGCTGAGGGGAAGGGGTTTGAGGCGGGGCCGTCAGCCAGGTACAGGCCGGGCGCTCAGTGATTCTCGCTGGACACAGGAGCAGCGCTGGTGCCCACGGCGGCCTGCACCTTCTCCACCAGTTCGGCCCACTGGCGCTGCACGTCTTTCACCAGGGGCTCGAACCAGCTCTGAAGGCGGGCCTGGAAGGCCTCAGCCTGCAGGCGCATCTGGGTGGCCTGCTCCTCCACCTTGGCCCGCACCTCCTCCACCTGCTCGCGCACCTCGTCCAGGCGGTCGCGGGCCTGGCTGCCCACCTCCTGCAACCTCCCGCGCAGCCGCTCACCCCAGGCCTGAGCCCGCTCCTGCAGCGGCTGGGCGGCCAGAGCGCTCACGGTGTTGGCCCGCAGGCGGCCCTGCTCCATCAGCGGCCCCAGGCGCTCCCGGATAGCGCTCACGCCCCGCTCAGCGCCCTCCTGCACCCCAGCGCGGTACACGGCCAGGCGCTTCTGCAGGTCCTCTGCGTCGCGCAGCAGGCGCTTGCGCATCTTGCGCAGGTGGGAGGACAAGCGCGCCCGCAGCTCCTCCGTGCTCTGGCCCAGCATGGTCTGCACCTCGCTGCGGTACTGAGCCAGGCGGGTGCGCACGTCCTCCATGTCGGCCCCCAGCCGGGCTTGAGCCGCCTGAAGCTCCTTGGACAACCGGGCCTGCGTCTCCTCCTTCATGGGGCCCAGCTGCTCCTCCAACTCCGCCTTGTAGGCTTTCACCTCCTTCATGGTCTCCTCCATCAGCACTCTGCAGAGAGAGGGCAGAGGGCGGTGGAGGGAGAGAAGCTTCCCGGGGAAGGGTGGAGCATGCAAGATGAGGACTGAGCCCAAGACCCCAGAAAGAGACAGAAGGAAGCGGGGAGGTCCAGAGGAGACCAGGCCAGATGGAGGTGGAGGGCAGAGACAGAGGACCCGTGAAGCATGTGAGAGGCCAGACAGCATGATGGAAGGAGAGAAAGAGGCTGAAAAAGACAATTAGAATGGAAAGACAAAGCAAGGAAATAGCAACAGACTCCTGGGAGGTGGTGACAGGGACAGACGCAGGGAGGGTCGAGAGCCCAGGCCCAGGGTGGGGCACTCACGTCAGTTCCTGGGTGACCTGGGAGCTGAGCAGCTCCTCCTGCACCTGGTCAGACAGCGTCTGCACCCAGCGCAGGTAGTCCCAGAAGCGGCCCAGCGCCAGCTCCCAGGGCTGGCCTGCCTGCCACTTGGGCGGCTCCCGCACCTCGGGCTCCAGCTGCGGCTCCACATCAGCCCGGCATCCTGTGTAGAGCAAATTGACAGACGGGTCAGGATCCTGCTGCCCTACCCAAGTCCAGGAACAGGCCCTGGCCCAGAGCAGGAGCCCCGTGGGTACTCCTGGGCCTCTGTGGCACCTCAGTAGGCGAGGAGGGGGTGTGGAGTCTGTTTAATGACTCGACAGGCATTTCTGGAGCATCTGTGTGCCCCATGCCAGGCCGTGCTGGGGTGATGGAGAAGAAAATGATCACGGGTGACACTATCTAGTCACTCATCCGCTCACTACCTTACGACAGTGTATTAGAAGCTGTTATAATGTGAGAAATCATCTCCCAGGAGGGATGGCCACGCTGCAATTTCTTCTCTTCCATTTTTCTGAGATTTTGGGGCATGCAAGCACCAGGCATCATTTATCAAGTCCCGGGTCCTGGGCTCGAACTGAGGTCAACCATGTGAGAGTCCAGCACCTTAACCACCAAGCCATCTGCCAGTTCCTCTAACTCCCATTTTAAGGATGGGGGAAACGCCCAGAGGGAGTAAAGCAGCCCCAGACTTGGGGTTTCTCCCTCCAGGAGGAGATAGACTAGCGGAAGAAGGGACCCAGGTCCTGAGAAGCCTGGAGGCTGAGGTGAGGCTGGGGGCAAGGAGGGGCAGGGGAGGAGAGGAGAGGGAACCTGAGCAGGCTCCGCCCTCTTACCTGTCAGGAACGCGAACGCCAACACAGCCCACAGAACCTTCATCTTGCCGTCTGCGATTGGTCTGGGGAGGAGACACTGCCAATCAACAACAGTGAGAACCCGTCCCACCCCAGCCCTGCGCCGGCCGGTCCCCGCTTCAAAACTTTGCCCTCCCGGTATCTGCAAGCGCCTAATCCCATCACAAAGGGCTATAAGCTGCTCCTCCAGTGTCCCTTCACCTCTCTTTGTCTCCTATCTCCCCAGGTCGCACTCCATTGCCAAAATTCCATCTCGCTCTCCAGGGTTCAAATTCCACTACCCTCCATCCCCCATTCCAAAGGCGCCTCCAGCGTCGCACAGTCCCGGTTCCGCGCAGTCCCGGTTCCGCGCTCACATTCTAAGCTGTCACTTCGCATCTGCGCTGCTTGCCACTCATGAGCTCATTTAGCCCTCATCTAGAAGTCCCCTTCAGTTGACCTCTGAGCCCGCAGTTAGGAAGCTGTGAGGTCGATGGGACGCCCAGTAGGTGCTCAGTAAACGACAGGACGGCTCTTGGGGTCTTGCAGCGACTCACCCAGTTCTACCCACAGGTCCAACTGCCCCTCCACCCACCTTACACGGGGATGGGATGCCTGCTGCCCTCCGTCCCCATATCCAGGCCCCGGCCCGCTGCCCCAGCTCCAGTGTGACTTAACCCAGCCGTGGGCATCAGACTCTCAGACGCTCCCTCAGCCTGGCAAGTAGCCCTCCTAGGCTTTCTGCCTTTTCCTCCTCGTCCTTCACTTTTTCTCCCCTGGAGGCCACGGGTTCGAGGTCCCCAGCCACATCTTCCCAAGGGCCAAGGGCCTCTGAGTTGATCCCTGTGCCGCCCCTCCCCCTGCTCCTCACCGACTCCTTGGAACAAGGTCCCGCGCCTCTGCTGGGGCTGAGTAGGACTCCGGGATCCCGGACTCGTCCAGTTATAGGGCTCCCCCTGCCCCGCCCCCTCCCCAGGGCTGGGCCGGCCCCCAGTCACGAGGTGGGCTGTTCTCCCTCCCACTTGCACTCAGCAGGGTGGAGGAAGGAGGTGGGGCTGCGAGGCCTTGTGACCCCTCCGGCCCCCAGGAAGAGGTGCCACCTTCCCAGTAATCCAGGCTTCCTCCTCCATTCTGGGGGCCCAGGCGGGCTGTCCTTGGGCATGCTCCTTCCCTGGGGAAGGATGAACTGAATTTGGGGAAGAGTTGAGGACTTGGAGTCCTGGATTCTGAGAAAGAGGGAGGAGGCAAGGGGCCTAGACAGGAATGGAGTGGGAGGGGTGGGACAGTGTGCCACCCCCAGAGGCCTGGACCTGAGCGGACACTGTGTTTTCATAGAGCCTCTCCCACGCAGGTGAGCCTTCTCCACCCTTGCAGAAAGAGGACCCAGTACTTTCCCTGGCTGGCACAGGCATGGGGGATTCCAGAAATTCCTCACAGGGTGCCTTCATCTGGCCAGAAGTGGCAGGGCCACCTGGTTAGGATTCTGGAACCAAACTGCAAGGGCTGGAGTTCCAGCTCTGCCACTAGCCAGCTGTGTGACCTTGGGCAAGTGCCCCAACCTCTCTGAGCACCCATAAAGCCGGGAAGGCCGCTCGCCTGTGTTTGGTGATGCAATGCCCTAACGCAGCAAGGACCCAGGACAGTCCCTGGCTCGTAAGAGGTTGCATGTTAGGACTAACTACTGGATGGCCGCAATGAGCTTTGTCACCTTCCTGGGAGCTGTTAGGAGACTCTTGAACTTGAGGCTCCCAGTCAAGGCACATGGTGAGGGGCCAGGATTCACTCTTCCTTAAGGGGGTGATTCTGGGTCCTGCAGGGCCAGCGGAGGCTGGACACCTACACCAGGAAGCTCCGTGCCTGGCTAGGCCTGTTGCCTTTGGGCTCAGGGCACCAGCAGGGAGAGGATGAGGTGGCTTCTCTGGGTAACCTGGGGTCATCTCTACCCGACAGCCTCCCTCTCCAGACCCTGGGGGCAGACAGTTTCAGTTCTGCTGTCTGGAGAGCGGTCAGGCCGTGTTACAGGGCACATCTGCCTAGACCCCAGGCTGGCAAAACCCTGACACCACCTCCTCAGATACAGGGGATAGAGCCTTCTTGTGCAAGGACCATGACTGAGCCTAGGCCCTTCTCAGTTTTTTTTTTTTTTTTTTTTGCTGTAGGGTGTGCTCTCTGGAGAAAGACAGAAGGAAGAACCCCCCCCCTCTCCCCCCAGGCATGGCCCTGTTAATCCCTTTTCCTTCTTGGGGCATGCCCACATGGCCAGTGTCATTTTTAAGCTACCCTGTCCAGGGCTTGAACTGAGGATGGCCACGTGGGAGTCCAGTGCCTTAGCTACTATTCCCCTGCTGGTCCCATCACTTTTTTTTTTTTAAAAGAGAGCTTTGCTCTCCAGAGACAGAAAGTGAGAAATCAGCCCCTAAGGGGGATAGTGTGCTGCAATTCCTTCTCTTCCTGGGATTTTGGGCATGTATGCACATGAGCCCGGTGAGTTTCAAGCCGCTGGGTCTAGGACTTAAACCACGGCCGGCCACGTGAGTCCAGCACCTTAACCACAATGCCACCCACTGGGCCCACACAATCATGTTTTTTCTTTTTTTTGGAGAGGTTTTTGCTATAGGGTGCGTGCGCTCACCAGACAAAGAAAGCGAGAAATCAACCCCCCCCAGGGGGGGGCGGGGAGATGGCCACACTGCAATCCCTTCTCCATTCTCCTCTTGGGATCTTGGGCATGCACACACATGCGCCTAGTGCGTTTTAGGCCACTGGGTCCAGGACTTGAACTGCGGTCAAGTATGTGGGAGTCCAGCGACATAGCCATTATGCTAACTGCTGCTGGTCCTTTTTTTTTTTTGTTTTTTGAGAGGCCTTTGCTACAGGGCGTGTGCGCTGGCCAGCCAGAGACAGACAGAAAGCGAGAAATCACCGCCCAGGGGGGATGGTCACGCCGCAATCCCTTCTCCTCCATTCTCCTCTTGGGATCCTGGGCACGCACACACACGCGCCTGGTGTGAGTCCAAGCCACCGGGTCCAGGACTCGAACCGCGGTTGACTACGTGGGAGTCCAGTGATATAGCCATTATGCTAACCGCTGGTCCCCCCCATATGTTTTTAATTTGCTAGAGGGTTCTGTGTGCGTTCACAGAAGACGGAGAGGAGAGAGCACCCATTGGAGTAGTCACACTGCACCCTTCCACGGCTCCTTTGGGGAATGCATACATTGCACTTTTCAAGCCACTGGGTCTGAGACTCGAACCACATGGCCAGCCACCTGGGGCCTGGCTGCCACACCCACTGGGCCTGGTGCTGACCCGTCCTTTCCTATAGATCTGAAGCTCTTCCAGCTGCTTCAATCGTTGAAGCTTCTGAAAGAGCTGACCTTCCTGCAAGAGTCCCAGTGGCCTACACCCTCTGCCCATTTCAGAATCTGGAAAAACCCTGGAGTCCCAGCTTCCCACCCACCCTGTGCTGGTCACCCTATTGGTTCCATCTGCAGGGACAAAGTCCATTACTGCCACTCTGGCCAGGCCAAGCTAGGGCAAGTGACCTGGAAACTTTGCCCTCCTAGTGAGGGAAAGCCTGGGATGTCCCACAGCAAGGTGGAAGTCACAGGCGGGCTGTGTGACCCTAGGCTAGGCTCTGCCCCTCTCTGAGCTGGGCTCTACACAGTAGCGCAGTGCGACTGTGGTGTGGTTCCTGGGACTCTGCCATGTGCTGGCCTCCAGCATCCCCTGCTGGTGCATGGAATGCAGGGCTGGAGGGGCTCCAGGGACGGGACTGCACGGTCAGGGCCATAGAAAAATTAAAATGACAAAATTAAAAAAATAAAGAGAAGTGCCACAGAAACACTTGGGAAAAGTGAGGCCTCCCAGTTCAATCGTGTTTTTTTTTTTCTGTGTATATTTTTTGTTGTCTTTTTTTTTTTTTTCTGTAAAATGTCCCGGTTCTTCCATAACTTATAAACATGATTTATACCGAGGGGGAGACGGGAAGAGGACAGGGTGGACTGACCGGGGACGGGGAAGCTCCTCTTGCTGCCCCCTCGGGGCCGGGCCGGGGCCCCTTGGAGGATGGGGACACCATGACACGCCTCCCTGAGGTTGTCTGGCCAACTCTGCCCCTGGCGCTCAGCATCCCGTGTGCTCGATTCCAGAACCCATTCTGGGACCCCAGGCCCACTGGGCACGCTGCCCCTGGTGCTCAGAACTCTGAAGCGCCCCTTGGTTCCAGAATCCCCTCCTCAGCTGCTGGGGTGGTGGGTCCCCTCCTTTCCACTGCCCCTCGACCCCCAAGGAGGGAGGGAAGGGAGGGGGAGGGGGGCTCAGGTCTCTCCTCCATGGCAGGGGGAGATGGAGTTGGGATCTGAAGGAAAAAGGGCATGGAGGACAGGGGCCAGGCAGGGCTCAGCCGATGGTGAGGCCGAAGCCGCACAGGAACTTGTTCTTGCGGTGATTCAGGAAGGCCCCGAGTGCCAGGGTCAGGGGCAAGGGTGGGAGCTTCTTCTCCAGCGTGGCACCCACGATCCAGTTGCTGTCCACAGAGCCTGTGGGGGGACAGCTGGGGTGAGACATGCTGGCTCCCCACCCATCCCCATGTGGCCACACTCCAGGCCACCGGGGATACCAGCCATACCGGTGGCTTCCAGACCTCGGGCCACACTGCTCCTGCCACTTGGAAACTTCACACACACAGCCCAGCTACTTGTCCTGGGAGCAAATGGCTCACTCCTCAGTTCTCGGCTCATCGGTGCTGCCCCAGCACCCTCTGGGCTCCTCTGCCCCAGGCCTGTCCACTCTGGGTTATAAGTTCTGATACCGGGTCTGTCCCCTGCACTGGGAGCCCTGCAAAGCTGGGGCCTGGTCACTGCTGCATCCCCAGCCTCGCTTGGCACCAGGCTCAGGACAAGCTGAATGAAAGACTGAGAGTTCTTCCAGGGATTGTGCAGACGCACGAGGGCTCAGGGCTGTCCCTGAGTGGGGAGGGATTAGAACTCACTTAAAGGAAGCAGGAAACAGAACTGGGACACAAGCCCGGTTCCACCACAGCTACAGCCACATCCAGGGGCCCAGGGGTCTCACAAGCAGATCAGTCCCCGGACCCCACCACAGCCTTCAGAAGCCCTGCCCCGGGCCTCCTGGAGCGATCTTTATGCAGCCCAAATCGGAACCACCGAGGTCCCAAGAGACGAACTTAAGACTGAACATCAGGACTGGAGGGGTCAGCTGGGGATGAGGCTCAGATCCTGTCACCTCGGGCAACCTCTATTCCCACTCACATGAGATGAGCAGGTGGAGTGGGGGGATCATGTTGCCCTCCACTTAGGAGGAAAGACCCCAGAACCAAGTGTGGAGTGCAAAGGACTTGCTGGGGGGTAGGGAGGGAACGTGCAAAGCTCCGCCCACCGGCCCATCTGGCAGAGCTCTGGGGGTGGGCCCCCAGCAGCTACTTAACAAGCGTCTGCGCTAACTGGAGGCCCCAGAAGCCCCAGCACACTGTCTGCCAGCCTCCACGCCCACTCGGGGTGCGTCACCTCTCACCTGTTTTCCAGGTAGGGAAACAAGGCCTTTACCTTTGAAGAGGAGGTTAGCCTTAGGCAGATCCAGCTGGTACCCGAAGGAGACACTAGTGTCCTGCATCCTTGTGCTGGCCTCGAACTCCACGCCCACCTGCAGCTGGAGGGGCCAGAGACGTGCAGGTCAGGGCTCAGCCTGTACACCTGGCATGCCAGCCCTCGGCCACACCCACCAGGAAGCACACTCTTGGGCCGGTCCCGGACCAGCTCACCTGGTCGCTGGCTTTGTGATAGTACGTGGCATGCATGCCCGCCTGGCCCAATGTGACCGTCGCCAACCAGTTGTTCACTGTAAGAGTGCAGGTGGGGTACAGGAGGTTACCAAGGGGACCTGGATGTCTGGAAACCCAGGCCGCCTCTTCCCTCAAACCTGGGAGTTGGGGCCTCCAGCCCTGGCCCCCCCAGCCCCAGCAGCCAGGCCCCAGGCTCACATGTGTATTTCCCAGCTAGAGACATGACGGTGCCCTCCTCCCCGGGCCGCCGGTGGTAGACCAGCTCTCCGCCCAGGGCCAGACACGGCGTGATGCTCTGGAGGTAGTGGGCCACGAGGATTCCTGTGGGCGAGATGGAGGTCATTTCGCTCGGGCCATGGTGCAGGTCAGACTTCCTGGAGGCCTCCAGGTCTCTCACCCCCATTCCTTGCTCCTAAGAGCAGATCACATGGTTGTGAGGCCAGCTTCCCAGGCCCCGTGGTGACAGCACCTGTGAGACCTTGCCTCCTCTACAAAAGCCCTGTGGCAGGCATTCATCCGCCATTTACACAGGAGGTCCTGGGGGCTGAGGGACGCAGGCGGATACCGGTGGTCACACAACCTGACGGTGGCCACGCCCCCAAGCCCAGGCAGGAGAGCCGGGAGCTAAGGGCACTCAGCCTGGGCTCAGATCTCGGACTCACGCCTGCCAGCTGAGGGGCAGACTGTCACTGGCATCACTTCTGTTAGCACGACCATCCCTGGGTTGGGACGGATCAGCAGCACTCGCTCTGCTGGGGCGTGTCTGCTACGCCCCGCCCCCCACCTGCCGTGGGGGTAGCTCTGAGGCCTGCCTGTTTGCAGACATGTTTGCAGAAGGGAAGCAGGATCAGATATGGAGGGCCAGAGGGACCAAAGATTCCCTCCTGAGAAACCAAGACCCAGCCAGAAAGAGGCAAAAGAGAGGGAGACAATGAGGATCCAAAGAGAGGCGGGGACAAGACAGAGATGGCAGGGTGTGGAAGGGTTCCTCCCAGACAAGGAAAAGCAGAGGCACAGACTGCCTGGCCCAGGGAGCAACGGGTCAGGAGCTGCCCCCTGATCTGGGGCTGGCTGAATCAGCAGGTACAGTTGTGGTGTCAAAGCCTTCTTGGGGGGGGGGGTCAGCAGATAGTGTATCGGCATATCACTGGATTCCCACTTGGCTGCAGTTCGAGTCCTGGACCTGGGGGCTTGAAACTCATGCTAGGCGTGTGTGCTTCTGTGCCCAAGATCCTGGGAGGAGGAATTGCAGCGTGGCCATCCCCCCGAGGGGTGATTTCTCACTTTCCCTCTCACTGTCTCTGTCTCTCTCTGGTGAGTGCACATGCCCCAAGGCAAAAACTGCTACCAAAACAAAACGGGACTAGCAGGTGGCGTGGTGGTTAAGGCGCTGGACATTCCCACATGGCCAACTATGGTTTGAGTCCCGGACCTGGTGGCTTGCCTTCTCACTTTCCCTCTCTCTCTGTGTCTTTCTCTGGTCAAATTAAAATAAATAAAGTTAAAGTAATAATTCATAAAAAACAAAAAAAACCTTATTGGAGGGACTAGCAGGAGGCACGGTGGTTAAGGTGCTGGACTCACAGGGCTGACTGTGGTTCAAGTTATAGATCTGGCGGCTTGCTTTATCAGTTTCCGTCTGTCTCTGGTGAGCTCATGTGCTCTATAGCAAATTAAAATAATAATAAAAAGAAATAAGTAATTAAAAAAACAAAAACACCTTATGGGGAGAACCAGGTAGTGTGGTGGTTTAAGGCAGTAGATTTCTAAATTCCCACGTGGTCAACCACGGTTCAAATCCCAAATTTGGTGGCTGGCTTCTTTGCTTTGCTTTCTCTCTGGTGAACACACGTGTCCTACTGCGAATAAAAAAACATAGTAAAAACCTTCTTGGGGTGCTTTCTCTCTCTCACTCAAGGAGGGAATACACAAAGTTTAGGTGGTGTGGTGGTTGGGGTGCTGGACTCCCAAATAATGACCAGTTTGAATCCCAGACCTGGACGCTTGCTTTCCCACTTTCTCTCTGGTGCTCTTCAGCAAATTTAAAATAAGGTGGGGGTGGGGTGTGGTGGGGAGAGGTAGTATGGTGGTTAAGGCACTAGACTCCAACACAGTTGACTGTAGTTCAAGTCCTGGACCTGGTGGCTTGCTTTCTTTGCTCTCTCCCCCACTCTGGCCAAACTGAATAATAATACTACTAAATAAAATAATTATTTTTTAATAAACAATTATTTATTTAATTCTTATCTATTCATTCATTTATTTTAATTTGACCACAGGAGACAGAGAGAGAGAGAGAGAGAGAGAGAGTTAGAAAGCAAGCCATCAGGTTTGGGACTTGCACCACGGTCAGCCATGTGGGAGTGTCCAGTGCCTTAACCACCATGTCACCTACTGGTCCCCAGTAAAATAATTCTTAAAAAAATCTCTCCTCCCCCATCTTTCCATCCTGTTGGGGTTCTGGGTGCACACATGCAGACACGTGGTGTGCTTTTAAAGCTGCCGGGGCTTTGGGATTTGGACTGCATGGCTGGCCTTGTGGGATCTGGCTCCCTTATCTACCAGGCTATAGGTCTGGCCCTACATAAATCAACTTTAAAAAAAAAAAACAGTCTCCCATGCTCCCTGCAGGCCCCGAGGAATCTGGCACTCTCCACCTGAGAGGCCTCTCCCTGACCATCTCATGGGACCCAGCCGTCCCCAGCTCCTCACCTTTCCTACCCATCACGTGACCTCGCCCACCTCTACCAGCTCCTCTGTCCACTGCAGTGTGGGCCCTGTGAGAGCAGGGGCTTGTCCAGACCAGCAGCCTCCCACCAGGAGTCATCCTGCAGTATCTGGAGCTTTTTTTTTGGTCTTTTTGAGATTATTGCGATAGGGTGAATGTGCTTGCTAGAGAAAGACAGGTGGAGACAGAGAGCAATAAATCACCCCTGGGGGATGGCCATGCTGCAATCCCTTTTCCTCCACTCCTCTTGGGATTGTGGGCAGCACGCACATGTGCCCTGTGTGAGGTTTAAACCACCGGGTCCAGGACTTAAAACACGGCCGACTATATGGGAGTCCAGCAATGTAAGCATTATACCATTTGCTGGTCCCAAGTTTCTTTTATTTTTAATGAATTTATTTACTTAATTTTATTTATCATTATTATTTAAAAAATTTGTTACAGGGTACATGTGCTCATGAGAGAAGGAGAAAGTGAGAGACAGGGAAAGTGAAAAAACAAGCCACCAGGACCGGGACTTGAACCATAACCAGCGCTGGGAATCCAGTGCCTTAACCACTATGCCACCTACTGGGCCTGTGAAGACAGTTCCGATGGATTCGGGAGTGAGGCAGGTCAGGGGCCGGGAGTGGGCACGTGTGGGGTAGAGGCCAGGACGCTGCTCAGGACGGGCCCCCACCGCAGAGAAAGGGCAATAGTGCCGGGGCGGAGACCCTGGACTGGCTTCACGTGCTGTCTCTGGCTTTAGATGGCGTCCAGCACCCTGTAGGTGATCGCTGAAGCCATGTTCTATGAGCAAAGGAACAGACAAGCCTGACCATGAAACACCGACACGTTCAAAGCCCTGTCGTAAGGAGTGAGCATAGCTGTGCAAGGGCGAAGAGAAAGCCTCAGGCCAGCCCTGACCCCACCTGCTGGGCAGGAGCTGGAGACGGGGCCAGGAGAGCAGGGAGCCCACGTCAGGCTTGCTGGGGACCTAGCCCAGGGCGGGTATATGGGCCAGGTACATCCAAGGTTTCCAGGCCTGCACCCCCAGTGCCCTCACCCTGATGGGCTCCCCGCTCCCACCCCCCCCTAACTAGTTCCCCTGGGCCTAGACACCACCGCTCCAGAACAGCTGTCCCTCCCTCCAATGGGACAGGGCCCTGGGCATAAGCAAGCCGAACTCCCCCTGCCTGGTGGGACCTCTCACCCCAGCAGCCCACTCATCGTGAGGGTCTGCTTCAAGGTGAGCGTGTCCCTGGGAGCCCAGCGAGGGCAGGAAGGGCTGGCTTGGCCGCCCTGTGCCAGCGCCGCCTTGCTCGGGGCTGAGAGCACACGGCATGTTCAGAACGTAGCAGAGGTGCCAGAGAGGGAGCGGGGCTTTGGGAGGGGGCCTGGCTCAGCACGTGGGCTCTCACAGTCCAGTCCTGGCCCCTCTCCTTCCCGTACAGCACCAGACTCAGGAACCCCGTACAACTGATTTCAGCCTGGGCCTCACTCTCCTTGTCTGATGGGCAGGGTCACAAAAAAAAAATGGGTGGAGTGATGAGGAATGTCGTGGGGCTCAGGACAGACACTCGCCAAATCCTTCACCAAGTGGTCCCTACCACTGTGCCCACTGATAGATGAGGAAACTGAGGCTCCAAGGAGATGGGGCACTTGCACGAGGTCAGAGTCAGCCGGAAGTGCAGTTGCCTTGTCCTGACTCTGAGCCGCTGGTGGTAAGAGCTTGAGACCCAGCACAGACCTGGGCCCAGCAGGCCCTGTTCTCTCTAGACACCCAGGGCAGGAAGAGACGACTGTAAGAACAAGGAGACAACGGGGCTCCAGGAGGCCTGTGCAGAGGGCAGGGGACAAAAGGGCTAAGGTGGTGCAGCTCAGGGAGTGGGGGACCAGTGCCCTTGGGGAAGCACCTGCCCTCTCTGTGGGGTAAGGCATAATGGCTGCTAGCCTCAGGGCCCTCTCCCCCGAGCATAGACTGACTGCGGGAAGGAGAAGACCCAGCTGTGTAGGGGGCCTCGCAAAGAGGAAGAGGAAATAAGCAGGACCCGCCATTACCACTGCTTCCTCCTTCCACTAGAGAGAGGTGGGGTAGGACAGGTGACCTCAACAGGGTCTCACTCCGCGACCTTCCCAGCAGCCAGCTCCCGGGCATGCACGCGCCCGGCACACACAGCCTGCCCGGGAACCTAACCGCCATCCTCCCCACAGACGCAGCTTTATCTGAGCAGCGTGCTGCCGTGCCCCAAGCTGGCCATCTCGGCGTGCTGAGCACCTGCTTTCCAGCGGGCATGGGGCCAGGCGCTGGGCACACGGTGGTGGGTGAGAGGGCAAGCCACTGCCTGCTCAGCGCTGGCGTTTACTGCAGGGGCCCGGCGGTAAGGGTGAGAAGATTTCAGAGGGAAGCCGCAGGGGATGGGGATGGGTGACAGTGCCAAGACGGACACTCCTCAGAGAGGGAAGGCCCTTGGTGGCGAGTGAGGCTGCCAGGCAGCAGGGCCAGCACGTGGAAAGGTCCTGGGGGGGAGACAGAACCCAGCTGCTCCAGAAACTGCCGGAAGCTATGTGGCTCAGCGTGGAGAGAGTGTGAGGATGCAGAGATGCCCTCGGGTAAGCAGGGGACAGGACACGCTACTTCTTGGCCCATGTGGCCCCACCTTCCCCATCTAGATCAGCCTCACCCAGGAAGCTTCTTGCTGCAGGCTCTAGAGGGAGGCATCTGGGCCATGGGCAGGCTCCCTACGGACTAGCTCCCCTGGAGCAGGTGGCTGCAAAGTGAACCAGGCTGGCTTGGGTCTTGGCTGGGCTTTGCTACAGCCCCCTCCGGCCTCTCCACTCTCCCGACGCAGCCCGTGGCTCAGAGAGCTGAGCGGTGACAGTGCCATGTTTCTGGACTTTGCAGCAACCAGAATTGCGAGAAGGTTAATACTCTTCTACAAATCTCAGGGGTTCTCCTGCAGCCACACCAACAGACCAGATGGCTCTCTTCACGTCCCGCCTGTCCCAGCTCCCCTTGTCCCCTGGGTTTTTGTTTGTTTTCTTTTCCACAATAGAAAGTATGCCATTCACAAGAGGTAGAGGAATGAGCACCCCCCCCCCAAGAGGGTCTCCTCACACTGCGACCCCTTCCCCAGCTCCTTGGGATCCTGGGCATAAGCGTATTTGCCTGGTATGTCCTATAGGCCGCCCTGGGATCCTAGCTGCACCTGCCTTGTGGCTTCCAGGCCTGAAGGTGCTGGCGTTACTGCTTAGCCACAGTGGTTGGGCCAGTCTGCTCGGACAGGTGCCTGTGTCTCGCCTCACCCTGTTCCAGCTGCTCCCCTGCCTGGAATGTTCTCGCTCAGTCTCCTGGCCGGGTACCCGTCTCTTCCTCTGGGAGTGCACACAGGCCAGCTCTGTGAGAAGGCCCTCTCGCTCCCGCTGGCAGGTGTGTGACTCTCCTGGGCACCCCCAGGCATGCAAAGCCAGCCCGGGCTCCCACTCAGGACTCGCTGCCCACGAGCCGACCTCCTAATGGAGCGGATGAACGGCAGCATGGAGACACACACCCAGTAACAGCACACCGTCCCTCAGGTGTTCAAGTGCCAGTTATGGAGCTAGCCCACTCCTCCCTGAGCCACACATCTGGTCTACCAGCAGCTCCACTGGTTCCACCTTCACACCCTGTCCACAACCTCCCTGCTGTCCTTGGAGTGGAGCCTCTGCTGGCTGCTCTCCAGGCATCAGCACGAGGGTCCATGCTGATGAAAAGTTAGGTCAGAGCCTGTCCCTTGTTGCCCAAAACCCTTCAGGTCCAGGGCCAGCAGGTGGCGTAGTGATTAAGACACTGGACTCCCAGATAGCTGACCATGGTTCGACTCCCAGACCAGGCAGCTTGAAACTCATGCCAGGTGCATGTGTGTGTGTGTGCCCGAATTCCCGAGAGGAGTATGGAGAAGGGACTGTGGTGTGGCCATCCCCCTGGGGAATGATTTCTCACTTTCTGTCTCTCTGTCTTTCTAGCAAATACACACGCCCTATAGCAAAAATCTCTCAAAAAAACAACAAAAACCAATAAACAAAAAAAGTCCTCCAGGCCCACCCCAGTAAAGGACAAGGTCCAGCAAAACCTCATGTGGTTTGGTCATTTCCCCCCAAACATGCCTCGAAAGGGTCCTGCCTCAGGATCTTTGCACTTCTGACTCCCAGAGGCTTGAAAAGCTCTTTTCCTACACATCCGCCTGGTTCCTTCCCTAGCCTCCTGCAGGCTTGTTCAAATGTCACCTACGGGGGACCAGCAGTTAGCATAATGGCTATGTCACTGGACTCCCACGTAGTCAACCACGGTTCACATCCCAGACCCAGTGGCTTAAAACTCACGGCGTGCGCGTGTGCCTAAGATCCCGAGAGGAGAATGGAGGAGAAGGGATTGCAGTGTGGCCGTCCCCCATGGGGGGTGATTTCTCGCTTTCTATCTCTATGTCTCTCTCTGTTTGTCTGGTGAGAGCACATGCCCTATAGCAAAAAACCTCTTAAAAAAAAAAAAAAAGTCACCTATGGAATGAGGCCTCCGAGGACTCCGCTCTGCCCTGTCCAGGCTCCATCTCTCCCTGGCCCCGTCACGGACACCTCATGTCACTTCACTTGTGTCTGCCCTACTGGAACGGAGGCCCTCCTTGCTCACAGCTTCGCTTTCAGCGCCCAGACTACCACACGCGCACATGCTTGAACCAAGAAATCAAAGGCAGACACCCAGAGACCAAAAAAAGGAACAAAAAGGGAGAGTCTGGAAGTACAGACACGAGTGAGACAGCCTCTGCCCCTCCCACCCACCCGAACAGGAACTGTTGGGCCCACGCAGGCTGCGCGCACCTCCCCACCACTGAGCGGGGCCCCTGCTCTCCCCGTGATCTGCTCTGAGCCAAAACCAGCCCCAGAGGCGCCGAGGAATACCACCAGGAGCAGCTCACATGTGCTCGATCCCGTGCCTTCCACACACGTGAATCTGCGTAATAACACACTCAACAACCGTGTGCAGTGGCTCAACACTGCGGGCGAGGAAACGGGCCCACGGGGTGATGGAACCTACCTGAAGGCAAAGCCCTAGCTTATTCTAACAGCAGTAGGGCTAGGGTCGAACCCGCATTCTCAGGCCTCACACGTTCCTGGACTCATGGTGGGGTTGTTGTCCCAACGAACCCACCAGTTGGAAACACCCCAATCTCAAAATGCATTTACTGCCCCGACCTCCCGAGCACCACAGCTCAGTCCAGCCCACCTCAGATGCGCTCAGAAGACCCGCATCAGCCTACGGCCGGGCAGAACCATCGACTTGAAGCCTCCTTCCTAATAAAGCGCTTATGGCTTCCTGTACTGTATTGGAGACTGCGCCGAAACGGAATGACAGAACGGCCACATGGTTTCCACCGCTGTGTAACGCCTGCACACCAACATAGTCAGAAAGCCTCCAGTTGAACTCTGGAAGCCGGGGCTGCCTGCACCACGTTGCCTGATGCTGCCTAATCAAGCCTGCTGCTCAGATGGGGAAAGAGGGCCCAGAGAAGAAAATGGATTTGCTGGTCAGGATGGAACTGGGGTCGTGAGCACCCCGAGACCCCACCTCTTACCTGAACCCACCAGGACGTCTGGGTTCCCCAGGGTGACAGCTGCCGTGAAGTCAGAACCCCGGTACTCCCCGTCTACCTGCCAGTTCACGAACTTTGACTGCTGGGTCTGTGGGGAGAGGGGGTGTGAGGGCAGCCTGAGCTCAGGGTGGCCGGGCAGCAGCAGGCTCCACCCCTGCTCACCTGGATGGCCATCTTGGACCTGAGGCCGGGGCCCAGCTGGTGAATGACCTGGGCATTGAGGCTGCCGCTGTTGTCCATGTCACCCACCAGCACGGGGAACGCCTGGGGTGGGGGGGAGCAGAGGACAGGGTTAGAGGTCAGAGGTCCGACACAGTGGAAGTTCATGAGCAGTGGGCCTAGGTGAGCTGCCTAGAGAAAGAAAGCCTCAGAACGGGGTTCCTTCCTCCATGAAGCCCTCCCTGACCACTCTGGGTACCCCCGTTTCAGTCTTGCCCACCCTGGATTGAGACCCTCTAGGAACAGGTCTATCCCCTGCCCCAGTGGACTGTGAGCTCCAAGGCTATTTTAGTCACTGCTGTGTCTCCAGCACAGAATAGGGTTTATGACACGAGCGATTTTACTGACGGTACCGTTAATAGGAGCAGAGATCTAACTCAGTACTGCCTCCCCCCACTGTCCAGGCCTCCAGTTTTGCCCTCCTCAGTACCTAGCCTCCACAGGGCAGCCTGAGGCAGGTTTCTAAACCCTAAATCTGCCGAAGCTGTCTTTCTGCTGATCAAATTGTTCCACAGCTCTCTGGTGCCCCCTAGAGAAAGTCCAACCACCTAACCTGTCATTCGAAGTCCTGCAAAATCAGCAGCCCAGCCCTGCACACTCTGGGTCATTGCTGTTTGCTAACAGGGCTGCTGTGGTCACCCCAGTATCCCTAGCATCACCCAGCACAGGACCAGGCGGAGAACAGGGGCTCAGGGGATGTTTACTGGATGAAAAAATCACCCACGTTTCAACATAGCTGGGAGTGACAGTCCCCACCTCCCGGGACACACAGGTCCCCCAGCAGCTCTGACCTCCCCCAACAAAGCCCATTCAGCTTGGCCTTTGGCTACACGTTTTGTTAGAAGAGACAATGACAAGGGGAACCTCACCTCTGTGGGACTCAGCTGCTTTGTCCCCACGTAAGTGACTCCAAAGTGGTAGTTGGACTCCCCGATGGTGCTGAGGGCTACCGTGTGGTTCACCTGGGAGAAGAGGAAGGGTCGTGGGGGCACCTGCCAGCCTGGCTTCCCTGCTAGAGGGGGCACAGATGACGTCACTGGGCAGGGGGTGAAGACTGGGAGGCACGGCCTGACTAGATGGAGACTCAGAGAAAGGATGGGCTACGGGCTGGGCTACCTGGTACTCACTCCTGCCTGGATGTTACGGGGGAAGGGTGCCTCTGAATTCTGGGTCCCTAGACCTTGCCATTGGCCACATTGGCCAGCCTGGTACTGTATCTCCGAGTCTTTTAAAGTACCAAGAAGCCCAGCCCTTGGGGAGGAGTAAGGGGTTCCAGATGCAGGTGGATGGGGGTGACTGGGATGGCCTATGAAAGGAAAGGGTGCCAGGAAGGCTCACCTGGAAGTGGTTACTCAACCCTTTGTTGACTGTGAGTTTGACACCCTCCATCTGAACAGGAAACAGCTCTGGAGAAGAGAAATGCTGTCATACCCTACCCTACACCCCCCACCAACTCCTACCTCCTCCTTTCCTCTTGGCCCCAGTTCTCTCTAGAAACCCCTGGCAGAACATATCACAAAGCATCCCAACCAGGAGAGGCAGGAGAGCCCAGAGGATAGGGTCAGGGTCTCTGCCTGCATTCTAATCTCAGTGCCACCACCTACCACCTATGTGATTCTAGGCAAGTCATTTGATCTACATCAAACGCACAGGCTGCAAGATGGGTACCTACACCACACTGACTGCTGCAAGGATTTAATGAGTTAACGTACACTGAGTACCAGCACAAAGCTCAGTCTGCACCATTTTTACTATCACGATCACTCCAAGCCAGGATCCGGTAGCCTTGGGTTCCAGCCCCCAGTGGAACACTGCTGACAACTTGCTGACACTGTGACCTTGGGCCTCAGTTCCCTTCTGATCACAGGAGGAGTCGGGCTTAGCTGATGCCAGGCTCCGAGGTGCCTCAGGCTTTTCTCTACTGCTATGGCATTCCATCCCAAGGTTCCACCATTTGATTCCATCGTTCCAAGCCCCAAGTCCAATGTTCCACCATTCGATCCCAACGTCAACTCCTAACGCTCTGTTAAATGACTCCAATGGTGCGCGCCAATTCCCAAGGTCCCCCCCGCCCCCCCGCAGTGTCCGCCCTGTTCCCCGGGGATCCCGGCCATCATACTCCTGACGGGGACCCTCGCCTCTCACCCTTGCACTTCCGGTGGCACTCTTCGAAAGTGCCCGGGTTGGGCAGGCAGCCACAGGCCCCATCGTCATTGGCCCCTGCGGCGCTAGCAGCGGCAGTCCCAGGGGTTCGTTCCGAACCTCGACCAGCGCTAGCCCCGGCGCCCAGGCCACCTCCAAGCTGCTGCAGCGTGAAGCCCG